GTCTAGAAAGTGCACATATAATGAGAAACAGTTGAAAGTGTTATTTCTAATTTGAGGAAAAGATTTCAGAGGGACTAGATAGCTATCTTTAAATTTTTATCATGTAGAAGGAAGTAGGATTAGAGTATTAGACTTCAACTTCCAGAGAACCTTACAATACACACAGAAGGGAGAGTTTAGCTCTTTACAGGGATTATGATACGATCCTGGAGAGTAGAATGGAATTGATTTGTTAATAGTTAAGTACTCTGCAGTAAGAGTTATTATGTGAGAGAATATGGGCATTGAGAGAGGGGAAGTTGGGTGCAACTGGGTTTCATTTATAAAGGGGTTTTGGAAAATAGAAACATTATTAATTGAGCTCAGCACTTTTACCAGCTCTTTGTATAAGTGGAAAAAGAAATAAAATAAGAACAAGAGGAAATAAAATTTTTATTCTGTTGAATGACTTTGAGGGTGTCATGCCTTTTCATAATCAGTTTAAAAGTCATCTACACTGCTCAAAATCTAACCCATTATGATTCTGAATGCAAATAAATTAATGTTATCAAAATTAAACAATAAGTAATAAAAATTAATTGGCAAATAATATTTGACTTTTTAATTTTACACTCCTTACTATCTCTAGCAGTCATTCAGTTTTCTTGGGTAGTTTTTTAAACCAAAAGTAATACCAAGGTAATAATTTAATGTTGTTTATTCTTTGTTCTTGGGTTTTTAAAAAGCTATATGAAAGTGAACTTGTAATCATAATACTGTGATTCTGCTCCAGGATTAAAATGGAGGAAAATGGATTTGTTGAGTTTACCTAACATAATATTTTGTATAGGGGAAAACAGATCATCTGTTTTGATTTGGCAAATGATGCTCTGGATTAGTGCTTCAGGTCTCTTTTTATAATTCATTAATTCAGAATAATTGTGGGCAGTAGCCATCTTTCTTAGAGGAAAAGTAAATTCCAGAACACCTTAAATGTCTTAAAAACTCTTAAGAAAAAAACTACACAAGGTAAAACAATGAAAAAAATCCATATCACATACCATTTCACATACATTAGATTATTACATATAATTTCAGAATTACGCTATAAAGGCAGAATAAAAGAATAATTAAATTCATAAACCAGTAGTTTGGAAAACTAGTAATTTTTTGAAGCCATTCCTTTCCACAACACTGTGTAAAGAAAGTGAATATTTTGAAACCAAAGCAATCAGATACTACAGAATTACAAATAGTTCTCTAGCTTAATGGGTCTTTACTTTTTTATCCCTTAAAAAAAATTCTGTTAACCTTTAAAGTGTGTAAATATTCTGTAAAAGATGCTAAGTATAGCCCCATAAATTACATGAATGTTTTCCTTGAATGAGTAGATTGAGATTTATCTCCTAATATATGCTTATTTTCAAATTAGCTAGTTTACTGATTGGCTATGCAGCTTTGCCCAGTAGTTATTTTGAAAAATGGTGTTTTGCATATGGTTGGCACTTAATAGATGTTTGAGCAAACAAATTGAAATATAATAATTCCTAAATTTCAGAGATCTTTTTAAATAGATTGGTAGAAACTATTGATTTCTCTAGTCTAATCAGATTGTCAGTTTGGCCCAAAGATCGAGCTAGTGATTTAGGCACATGATTGGCCATCAGTTTACCTATATTTATAGATGTAAGAATTAAAAATATTTATAAAAATAGTTGGTTTTGCTATACTGTTGATTTAATTGGCTTTACATTTTAAAATTCAATTAAATGTTAGATATAATGCACTTACCTATTATCTCAATTTTTTTCCTCCATAGTTGTGGCAATATATGATTATACAAAAGACAAGGATGATGAGCTATCATTTATGGAGGGTGCAATCATTTATGTAATAAAGAAGAATGATGATGGCTGGTATGAAGGAGTCTGCAATCGAGTGACTGGTCTGTTCCCTGGGAACTATGTTGAATCAATCATGCACTATACTGATTAAATTTTTTGCTTTTAAAGTAGGTTCTTATTACTCAGTCATATTTGTGGGACTATTAATGATTAACAGAATTGTCTTAAAATGTTTTAAAACGTGCCCATATTTTCAGGACATGCTGTTTTATTGGTATAATTGAATGTCTACCTATAAGCATAAATCTTTGAGGCAGTTTTGTCCATAATCGATTATGCTTATGTACTTACTTACACAATGTAACTTTATGACCAGCCTAAATATTCTGGGGTTGTGGGGTATAATATTTAACAAATCATGATTCCGATTGTACCATTACATGTTTCAGTGCAGCATGGTTACTAATGCTATGTCAGACTAATATTAAAATCTGAAACTTAAATGCTGGTGCTGGTCATACTTTTTGTTTAGACTCATTCTTGAACTATAACTTTGTTTAAAGCATGCATACAAATTTATGTATTGACATATACTTTAAAAAATCCAAGATGCTTCCAATTTGTGTAATACTTACTTGGAGTACTCGTACTTAGGTCTCTTGAAATGAATCGAGTCTCTGAGGTTTCCGTGTGAAACAAAACAGACAAAAAAAGGGTTATCTGTAATGTTGTAATTTGTACTTAAGTTTTTTAATGAGTGAATTTGCATTATCAATTTTTTCCATTCATAAATATATAAGTGAACCAAAGGTTTTTGTCCTTTCCTTCACTGGTTTGCTTTAAAAAATAAATAAATAAAAGATACTGATTTATTGCAGAATTATGGTTCTATTTTCTCAGTATATTAACTTGGGAAAAAATTTTAGCCTTATTTCAACGTGTCCCAACATCAATGTGACTGATTTTTGCAGATTTAAAATCTGCGATGGTTATTTACAAGTCAATCTACTTAATTGCTTTTCTAAAGTAACTTTTTTTTCAAAGCTAAGAAAATGTATAAAAGTGTATACACGTTCTGTAGGTAAAATTCTTAAGTATTGTTATCAGTCCTTCAGTTTTTCAGTGGACTGTTGTATACTGGTTCAATGAAAGGAAATTATAAGTATCTTTTACATACTGTTTTGTAGAAATGGATGCGATTGATTTTTGAATAGGCACTGTTTAATCCATTACCTGGCACTAGCAACACAGAAAAAATTTTTAAATAATTGGGGGAAATGGTGGGTCATATAGTAATCAGTGAACAGGGATATACCTGACCAACAGGTTTGTATTGTCTTTGACATAATTGAAATGCAACACATGCACTTTGTGTGTCTCCTAATTTAAGGGAGGTTTAGAGGGGTGTTTTCTCCTGTGTATAATTCTATATTGCCTCGGATATTAAAGTAGAGCACTCAAGTGTGGGTTTCTGTATTGAGGAGTTGTTTGGATTTCTAATTACAGTTATGTACTGGGCATTCACAGACTTATAACAGTATAGTAAATGGTAAGACTAGTGCAAAACGTTTATTTCTGAGACTTATAAAGGCCATTGCTACCAAATCAATGTGACTGTTGCATACGCATTTTGCCTTTGTTAATTTTAAACATGATTTCAGTATCACTAGTGATCAGCTAGCTACCATCTTCATTTTTTTAAGTGGAATGTTCTCTTAATTTTGTATATAACTTGTCTAAATTTTATGTACAGTCTTTTATAATAAACCATTCTCCTATATGAAATTTTGGATACTGTTAAAATCTAATGTGGATTGAAATGTAGACCTCACAAATCTCTGACCTTTACTCCTATGGTGAAACAAGATAAACCATTTGAATTTAACACTGACTATTTATTTGTGTAATGGTTTTACATGTGAATATTAACAGTGTAAACAATACCACATATAACCATCAAGATACCTCGATTAGAATTTACAGGACTAGAATGACAGATTCAGATGGTTTAATTACATTTTAAAAATTTTCTGAAAAATTTTGCCAATAAAAAAAACCTGCCCATCATTAAGGTTGAAATGATTTTTTAAAATGATTTTTGGTTATCTGCACATGAAGCAAAGTATATTCCACAAAAGTCTTTAGGCACAGTCTGGTAAAATAGCTGCCAGAAATAACAGAAAGACTTGTCATTTATCTCTCGTGAGTACAGTTTCTGAGAGCTGTATAAGGGCATCTCTCTCTCGGGATGGTCGCAGTTTACTGATCTCTCTTATTGCTTCGTGGCAGTACCGCTGGGCGAGGTAGGTTGTTTGTTGCACACCATCACTCTGCAGATACAGAAAAAACAGAATGGATGTATGTTACCTACGGGATCAGCTCTTAAATTCATTATAATAAATTAAAACATACTTTAAGGAATAGATTAGCTAACAGCCAAACTATGTTTCTAATGTTCTCTCTTCAACTCATAGTTCCTCCTCTGCCTACTTTTTTAGGCCCTTTCCCCAGACCGAAGCAAAGTAACTATTAGCATGCAAAGCAACTAACTCATTAATATCAAGTAGCCATCTATTTATTTCCCTCTATTCTTAATTTAAATATTAGAGTTTTTAAAAAGTTCTACACATATAAAATATCTATACAATGAATTTTTAAATAAAATCTGAAGTGAAAGTTTTAAAAAGTACATAATAAAAGTGAACAGAAGAGCTGATGATGAAAATCAAGTTTCCTTCTTCAAAAGGCACCAGCTGTTTTATCCATTGGTTTTTATTTCTTAATTATCAATTTGTTATTATCTGTTTCCTTTCTACCAAAACGAGGATTTAGCCCACTAAGATCCTATTTTGATCATAGTGTTATCTTTAGTTCTTCTATTGATGACTTTTGCCATCTGACTTCATCTTGTTTAAGATGAGGAAACCTAGTGCTCCTATTCTTTCTGCTTTTAACTGAACCTTTACACTAAAGGTAGGTTTGCATTGCTTGTTTTATAACCATGCTTTTATGTTGGTTCTTTTTAAAAGCTGAACACCAACAAAGTATTATTTCCATGATGTAAAAAAGTTTATGGTAGAATCAGGTCAGTCATTTCCTCTCCATGGTTCCTAGTTCATGATGCCTCTGTCATTGAGAGAAGATCCCTAACATGGTTGAAAGGCCTCTGATTTTCTATACCAACTGACACAAAATATGACATATTTTAGCTTGTGTCATGTTTTTAAATATACCCAGAAGCCCACGTCTGAATGTAATTGTCTCCTTTTCTAACTTTGTGTGAAAGGAGCTCTTGATTCCTAGTATTTCTGATGCCTTCTTCATCCTTTTCATTAAGACTGGCTGCCTTTTAGGTCTTGTACAACTGCCATCGCAGGATGACTTTTGATTGAATGAACTCTTAGGTTCACACTGGTTTTATAGTACCTACATCTTTCTCTTTCTTGGTGTTTTCACACTTTTGCTGAAATATATCCAACTGTAACTTACCCAGAAAATGTGTACTGGAAGCCAACTTTTAGTCCTTAGTGTGATAATGACTTTTACCTCCAGAGCATATAGAATTCTCGTTTTAAAACGTTTCTTCACCATTTGGAAGGCCTTGCTCACTGCCTTCTAGCTTCCGGTGTTTGCTCTATACCGAGCCAGTTTGACCCCTTTCCTTTTGTAGGCGACCATTTTGTTCTTTGACTTCATTTTTTGATTCTCTTCCTGAAACTTGTTATATGATTGTAACTGATTCTCTTCTGAGCTTTTCTCATATGCTTCCCTTGCTGTTTACATTTTGGAAGATTTTCTCAATTCCACATTCCAACTCTTCTTAGCAGTTAATTTTTCAGTCATTTAAAATTTCTCCTGAGCTTGTTCTTATTTATTAGATATTATCTTGTTTTATGAATTATTTTTGAATCCTCCTATTTATATTCTTCCTCTTTATTTTTGTGTATCTTGGTCTCTTTCATTCAGTCAGCTAGTAATTCTAAATAAAACCCTAGTTGTCCATTTATATTTAATGAGAGAATAGCAACCGGGAGCTCTGGGTGAATGGGGAGCTAGAATTTAGAGGTCTTTGGAGAATTTGTTTAGAGAACATCCTGGGGACTTTTCTTCTGTGTGTTTCTGCTTAGGCTTGCTGGAACGTCACTGTTTTGCACAAGAGTTACAATTAATTTCTCTCTTTTCAGTCCCACTTACTTCAGCTTTTTCTGAAACCAGGACTTCTCCCAGGCATAGCAACTTCTCTCTCAGCTACAGCCCTCCCTCATATTGATTTTTTAATCATACTGCCAAACTACCCTCCAAAAAGGTGCTAACCGATAGCAAATTATGCGTAACAGTATACAGATTTAACAGAGAAATAATATCCTTTGGAAGGGTTTTATTTTTTGGAAATTTAAAAAAATCTGAAAGGTCTATTTGGAATTCTTTCAAGTATTGGACTAATTATAGATCTCAGACCATATCTGCTTACTAAAAATTATTTGCTTGCCTTATTAACTAGATCTGCTGGCTCCAACTGACTGGATTTGGATCTTAGAAATAGCTCATTCTCAAAAGATAAGTCATCGAAACTGAAAATACACAAAAAGATAGGGCTTCAACAGAAAAGTTCGGAAGATATATGGCAATATATTTGAAAAAAACTTACAGCGCCGAAAGTTAAACAGTTTATTAGTTTGCCTATGTTGGTTTAATTTTTTTTCAAGTTAACATTTCTTTAGTCACACCTTTATGAGAGTTAGACAGGATGGAACAGGTAAGATCAGTTTTGAGTAAACTGCTGTAATAGTCTAGCCGTGGCAGGGCTGAGGGCTTGGATTAATCTGGAGACGAGTCTGGGTAATTGGGAGAATAGTCACGCCACTGACAGGCATGGTGAAGACTGGTTCCAAACCAGTGGTTCCCAACCCTGACTGCACATCAGAATCACAGGAATAGCTTTCAAAAAATGTTAACTGTCCATGCCCTAACCAAGGCCAAGCAAATCAGAATCCCTGGCAAAGAAATCTACAAGAAAAACGAATTACAAGTTTTTCCTTCTCAGTTTTTGTCAAATCAAGAAGGGACTAAACTTGGTCTTGTATCTAAAATTTAATGTTACTTGTTCTATTAAGAAGCTGCCACATCGTACCTGCTGTTGCCTCTTTTTTTTTTTTAACTCTTACCTGTAATACATATTGTCGAGCTCTGTCCACATCTCCTGGCAAACTGAACCGTCTCATTATCATAGCATTCATTTCTGGGAACTAACCATAAAGAAAGAAAATCTATTTATTCATCTTGGCAGAATCAAATGTTCCAATACTAGTTTGTAACAATAGGAAATAATAGGAAAAAGCAAAAAGGTGATTGATTAGATGATGTAGGGTAACAGTAAATTATAGCAACTAAAGAAGCAGAGCTAAGAGAGACATCAATTTTTCCATGCCCAGGGACTGGGCTAGTGCAGTGTTCATTCAGTTTTCTATCCTTGGTCCGACACTGAGTAGAAAAGAGAGAAGGATGAGTACATCTCTAACATCTCCTTACTGACTTTTCTTGTGGTTCGTAAACGTTAGGTCACACCAGAAACACCGGAGGCTCAAGCCTCTCTCCTAAGTGTCTAATTCAGTACAGGGGGCCTAAGTGAGCATTTCTAATGAGTTCCCAGGGGATGCTGACAGTTTGAGAACCACAAGCCCAGGATGAGGGTGAAAATTAGGAATTCTATTCTTAGTACTAAATCGAGTGACGCTTAAAAGCTATTGCGGTTTCTGAACAGAGGGTAGTATGAGCAGAGATCTCTGCTACAGCAGCTTGTAGAATGGATTAGAGCAGTGGTACTCGATGCTGAGTAAACTGCATGCTGGAATCACATGGGGAGTTTATAACAGTTTCCTA